AATGGAGTCAATGGACATTTCAACAACCTGCTGTAGATGTGAGCGGGGCTGGGAATCCAATGCCCACCTCTGGCTGCATTGCCCTCTCGCAGACGAACTGTGGATGTGGTGGGAACAAGTGGGCGTCTGGCTGCATTGCCCTCTCGCAGATGAACTGTGGATGTGGTGGGCGTCGTGGTGTGGAGGGGCTTTTCATTGGTCGGACGACTGGCTGCTCTTCGCCACTCCGCCTTCCAGCCTTATGCGATACAGGGACGGGTGGGGGTATGTGGCACTGGCATGTAGAGGGGTTGTCCTTCAGACTATCTGGAGAGCCAGAAATTCCAAGGTCTTTCGGGGAGAGACGATCACCACACAGCAGCAAGAAACCAAATTCGCAGCGAACTAAGACTGATGATCCTTACTGCAGTGATTGGAAAGTGTGCTCAGGAAGACAGGGTAAAGGCAGGCCCTGGTTTCTGCGCACCTGGGCACAGAATAAACAAAAGATCAAACTAGATCAGTCAGGGCATTTGGTCTTCGCCAGCCCCTGAATCATCGCTTATTCTTCAGTAGGATTACATATATCATATATATGTGAAAACAGAAAAAACATAGAGCCATATTTCCGTGACCCAAAAAAATAAAACTAAAACCATACACGAGATTGGCACTGCATTTATCTGCATAGCGACAACAACCCACAAATCGAGAAAAACGGTCCAGATTCAAAACAAAAACAGAACCAAAAACACAACAAAGACACATAAATCCTCGACCTCTATTTGCCTGCGACACGTATTCACACCGGCCCGTAGATAGACATATTTGACGGTTTTGTAGCCGGTGGAGAGAAGCCATTGCCTCGTCTCTTTTCTTTGTTCATTCAGACATTGGTCTCCCCCTTCTCCGCGAAGCACACTTTGTTCATCCGCCTTGCCTCATCAGCCCAAAAGTGGATCACCTCTCTTTCCTTCCACCTGATGTTTTACGCCACCTGCAGTTTTCACGATCGGCATTCCACACATCATCAATGATCATTGCCAAGCTCTCCAATCCAGTCGGACCATGTACAAATGGATGAATCATCGTCTCCAGGCCGTTGATCTGGCATCATGGAACGACCGGTACTCTGGTGCCCCCTGGAGTACCGGAGCCCGAGTCAATCCTCCTCCTCCTCCTTTACGGTGTGAACCAGTTCACCCTCCTTCTCAGTGTTTTTCATTTTACAAGCCAAAGCCGGGTAATGGCCCCGATCTGTGTCAATATTATTGGAAGCTGGTCCCATTTTCCCGCAGGTGCAGCTCCCCCATCAATAGAAAGGAGCCATCCGGGGAAGGGGGTGCTACTTGGGGATGCTCTTACCACCTCCGGTAGCACCCCCGGTACACGTTTCCAAAAAAAAAAAAAAAAAAAAAAAAAAAAAAAATTGTTCCTTGAACTTCCCTCCACTCTTGGCCTCTGTTGTCTGACTCTACCTTGCTCCCCACACTGCCCACAGATAATTGCTGTCATCAGCAGCCATTTCTAGTCTGCGACCACCCCCCCACTTCCTGAATGAGTGCCAAACAAGTATGTGGTATTCATTCTTGTTAAGACTCTTGGACTGAGATTCTACAGACCCCCGAAAAACTAGTTTCTTCTTTCTTACCGCATTGCATATAGATGATATAGTCATGTAGGTTAGCAATTCTTTGAAATAACTTCTTTATATCTCCAAGGACGTGCTTTTTCTTCTTTTCTAGAAAACGAAGGAGAGAGAGATTGATAATAATTTAAGTTCATCTGACVTGCTAATTGGGATACATATAAAGATGCTGTTCGAGAAAGCTGGTTCCACATATGATCACAATTGACTACTATACCCATTTCCCATTCTATATTACCTTCAATTTTTTTTTTTGTATTGAGAGTTGGCAGGACGAAGCCTCCTGACAGACGCGCAGCTATCATGCCACTTTTTCTCAAATTCCTCCGTCTTTCTGTGTGCATACAGAAATTCAGGCGGCTTCGTGGCATGATAGCTGCGCGTCTGTCAGGCGGCTTCGTGGCAGCTACCATGCCTTTTCTCAAAAAGGCATGCCATATGGCAGTGCGGCATGAGACTCTGGCCAGTCAGCTGTTTGCTGAGAAATTGAATCTTGCAGGTACTGACTTTTTTTCTTTTTTTTTTCCTAAATACGTTGACATATATTCCAAAAACAATCGAAAGAGACCGGGGACCTCACAATTCAACCCGGTGTTATCCCGGCAGCATCAGCCGGTTTAGCTTAGCATAAGAGCCTTAAAGGCATTCTTCAACCTATACTGCAACAAACACTCTGTTCGTACTCTTCAGCCATCAGGGCTGTCCTTATCATACTGATTGAACAACATACAGTACTCATCTGTAACTTGACCTTGCAAACCATTACACCCTCCACTGCTATACGTCAAGCCTAACTACTATACCCCTCCCCCTACACCTACACTAACCTAGTCTACCTTAAAACTAATACACAGGCCTACACGGCCTGACGCCGGTCTAATGGCGACCGACTGGAACAGCAGTTCCTGGGCCCCCGTGGCACTCTCAGAACCTTTACAATGACCTCCTGCTGTCCAGCTGGAACCGAGATACCCTGGTTCTGTATCCTGATCTACCCCTCAACCCCGTAGCCAGTGTGTCACCACCAGGCCTCTCACCCGGTGGACCCCCGCCAGGCGGTTCCGAATTGCCCAGGTTTTCAAAAACCACCAGAGTGCACTCCTGCTAGCCTTCCCATACTCCGCCCTTTTCCGCCAATCTGCCCAGATTGCTCTCCTCATTCCTCTCTTGATCGCTGCCTTAATCTCCATGTCTGCGTACGGGCGCCCCTCGAAACGGGAGCCGTTTCTATCCGCCCAAATTACTGAGCATATCACTGCTCTAGCTACCTGGTACCGACTTCAATGAGAGGTGCACTCATGTTTAGAAAACTTGAAAAAAAAAAAAAAAAAAANGGCGCCCATTAAATGATGGGCAAGGTGTTGGGGATAAGAGGGATTTAACCCCGCAACCTGCCCAATTATCTGCTGTACTTTCTCATTTTTTATTTTTTATTTTTTTAAGCTGCCTTCTCCTCATCCGGAGATATCTGAATTAATATGAATTCCCTCACCCCTCCCATAGGTAGTGAAAAAAAAAGATACTGCTACGGGGTGGGGTGGGTTCCCCGCAATACTATAATGACAATAAATTAAAAAAGACCTGAAAGGCCGTCCTGTCCAGATTCGACAGGTCATTGAATTGGTTGGGGTTACAGAAATAGCCTTCAAAAAAAAAAAAAAAAAAAAAAAAAGATACGTTCCATGACATGGCCGAACCCCAGTTAAAATTTATCTGCTGCACTTCAATTACATCTGCTATTTTCGTTCCTGCCTGGATTTGAACAGGGGCGAGATCCCACTAGCAAAGAGGGTTGGATAAATATCCTGAATCTGGACGTGTTTTAAGCAGAGATGCGGAAAAGCAGTTCAATCTCGACATTCTGCACCTTTCCATATACAAGTCCAGATTCAGGTGTTCACTCCAATCCTCTTTGCTAGTGGGACCTCGCCCCAGGAGAACAAACAGACTACGAACACTTGTTTTGTTTCCATTTTTTTTTACCCTTGTGAACCAGATGGACTTTGAGCCCGGAACCCGTGTGTACAGTTCCTAATTGCCGTACAGTCCCTAATTGCCGTACAGTCCCTACTTGCCGTACACTCCCTGCATGCCTGTAGCATGCAGAGTGGAAGGAACTTTTTTGGTTGGTAGTTCTAGGGCCAGATCCCACTGGGAAAGACGATTGGAAAAAGTCTCCGAATCTGGACGCGTCCACGCACAGGTGCAGAAAAGTAGACCAATCACAATTTTTCGCACCTATCCACAAACACGTCCGCATTCAGACACTTAATACAATCCTCTTTGCCAGCGGGATCTCGCCCTTCAGCTTTTTTCTTTTCGATGGTAGACACAGTACGCCTACGCACGTAGTTGCTCATCAAAAGCGACGAGTTGGGCCAAAACCCTTCAGAATTCAGTCGTCGTATTCTTTTTGCTGCTTGGTAAGAAACTAGAGAGCAGCTAGCGTCTTCGCGTCTTTCAGCACTGCTCAAGGAGAGAGAGCACTGCTCAAGGAGAGAGAGCACTGCTCAAGGAGCGACAGTGTGCAGCCATAGCCAGTGAGAACTTGATGTTCACTGGACGGTTTCTCGAGCCGTTTGTTGCATATTTTTTTGCTAAGGGAGGCCGGGCCTTCAATTCTCCATCACCTTTTTATGCTTTCATCCACCATTCGTTTTGTATGTGACTATTCAATTTCAATTCCGATTTTCTGTGAAGTTTCTTCTCTCTTTCCCACTTCCCGGTATTCTTGATATATGAATCATTGATGATTTTTCCATGACATGGCCGTGTGACTATTCTAGATTCAGGTTACATTTAATGGTTAAACGTTTCTTTTACCGTATCATAAAAAGAAAATTATGATTCATTGATGATTTTTCCTTCTATTGTTAAAATAAATCATCTATATTATATTCAAATGCAATTTAACTTATTGTATAGTGCCAAACCAAACTGTTGACAGTATGTTTAACAATGATTAACTGTCCGTGTCGTTGCTCGTCTTCTCGGAGAACGAAACCATCCAGCAGCATTTCAACGAAGATCGGATTTTTTTTCAACGAAGATCGGAATACGGAAAGTCTTTAGCTTTTTTGCTTGGCATCTCGAAAAAAAAAAAGATGGGGATTGCACTCCACGTGCCTTTGGTGCCCACCCAGTTCAACCTCTCACCAAGGGAACACAAAAAAGAAAGAGACGGTCGAATGCAAAACCGAAAAGAGCGCAAACATCCACAACATCAACTACGAAAGAATGAAGAATCCCGAGTGCAGTTCAAACTTTCATGTTCAGTTGCCTTCCCAGGCCTGACACGGACAGCTTCACACAGAGCAGAGAACAGGACGAACAACAAATGCGCAACGCAGAGAGAGGGCAGACAATCACATGATCTGAACAGAGCATAAAGAATGTAGAGTGCAAAGCAAACACAGATATCATCCACATCAATTATCCAGAAATTCCATTTGGGTATCCAGTCCTGAATATCCTCACATTACGCCAAAAATCACCGGGGCCCTAAACACTAGAGCCTCTCTCTCTCTCTCTCTCTCTCTCTCTCTCTCTGTCTGCGTATGTGTCTGTGTGTGTGTGTGAAGAATATCAGCGCTCACAACGCGCAGTCACACGAATGACTTCAGCTAATAAAAAGTGCATCAATCAAATGCTTCGATAACAATGAACTCACAGAAAATCGTAATCGCATCACTCACGTCATAAACAATCAACTATTAAGATTTTCGTTTCAAGACGGTTCCACTACTAAAGAGACTATGACCCAGCAGCAGCAGCCTCAGCTGGAATTTGCCGCGCACCGGCCCTTCTCGTCGTCGAGCTTCCAAGTGCTATAACATCTTTCTGGCTGGACCCTCAACCACTGATCTTGCCCCTACTACCACACAGGTGGCAGCGGCCAGTGCTTTGACGAACCGTGGAGCTCCCCTCTCAATAGCCAGAGGACACGTCTGACGTTCGATCCATCCTCAATCGCGCCACGACTAAGCAGACGATACCAAGCAAATAGATGCACCTATCTACAAACACGTCTGGCGTGACTTAACGTGGAGGCCGTGCCTTCGAGATGCAGAGGTTCGCAGAAATTGCAGCTCTTCTCCATTGATGTACATGTCCCCCAGGATATGCGGGGACTGCATTCGTCCAAAAACCAGTTTAGCATGGAATCCACGTGTCACATCGAAACAACGAACTCGTGGTGAAGAGCCTCATTGTAGGCAACCAACCCAACGCACGTCCCTCGAATGACAACCAACTGTAGAGCCCCTGTACTACTCCCGCTACCGGTAGACCACCCGTGTGATACTTCAGTGCTCCAGTGGTACTCTTTCTACTGTCCTTGTGGTGGTACTCTTTCTAGTGTCCTTTTGGTGGTACTCTTTCTAGTGTCCTTTTGGTGGTACTCGATTTCTGGTGTCCTTTCGGTGGTACTCTTTTCCTGGTGTCCTTGTGGTGCTCGTGTAGTCTACTTCAAGTGCTGCTTGACTACCCGTGTGGTACTTAGTACCCCCTGAGCTACTCTTGTAGTACTCTTGTGGTGATCGTGTGGACTTTTTCTAGTGCTTTTGAAGTGTGCTTGAAAGCGCTGTGCAGGTGTCCTTGTAGTTGCTCGCGTTCTTCTAGTTCTCTTGTAGTGCGCTCTCGTCGTGCTCGATTACCTACTCAATTAATTACAAGGGACTACAAACGCCATCCACACCATTCGAATACCTAAGTACCGTTAGTTGCCGTTAGTTGCAGTAGCCGATGCCCAAGATGATAAGAGCAGAACCAAATATCAGACTCGCAATGAGCGCAGAACTTGCCAAAGGCGGCCGGCAAACATCAAACGGATGCCCGCATAGACCGATGCCAAAGAAGTATAACATGTCGTGATACGGCATGGCCACAACACTTGAAATGTGCAACATGAGATAGACTTCGTGGATCAACATAGCATTTCACCCGCCACATTTCTCTCTCTCACATTTCGAGAGAGGCGTGCCGATGTTCATAGCCGTCGTACCACAAAACGTCCTGAAAGTACACACCTGTGTCGGCTAAGCCATGAGACAAATCCCCGCCCACCCGCTCTATATGAAAGGCCAAACGTACACCTGTGTCGGCTACGCCATGAGAAAAATCCCCGCCCACCCGCTCCATATGAAAGGCCAAACGTACACACCTGTGTCGGCTACGCCATGAGACAAATCCCCGCCCACCCGATCTGTATGAAAAGCCAAACGTACACACCTGTGTCGACTACGCCATGAGACAAATGGCCGCCCACCCGTTCTATACGAAAGGCCAAACTAACGACAGCAGCAGCCGTCCAAGGAGGGACGGGAAATCCAAACTGATTAACACAGGCGTCCAAGAAGATGCAGCACAGCACACTTCGACAAACGAGGACATCGTTGCGGATAGAACAAGGCGGGCGAATCACCGCGGCGGCGGCGCTAGTCAAACATCGTCATCCGCTAGACCGACTAGCGGATGTGCACACTGAATCCGTACAAGTGCACGGGGTATAGCCGATGTGCATACTGAATTCGTACAAGTGCATCGGTCGATCTGCGAACCAACGACATCGCCAACTGCACGGGGTATCGTTAATCGGACCAGGTGCAAGTAATAGGACTCGAAAGGGGCACACTTATTATGACCGAGCAGGCTGCCCGCGAACGACACGAGCATAAAAACCGACTTCTCCCCTAAATAGACCTCCATCAAATACTTCCAAACATCGGAATCCGTTATTCGCCTCTTCGCTGAGCTCGTTCGCTTCCTCGAAAGATCCATTCATCGAATAAGACAGCATCAACAGTCACTTCCTTCAGTTACCTGCCACATGGAGAAGAGCTACCCAGTTCACACTACACTTCAGCTCCCTCTCATGTCCAGAAAACTATGATCTACGATTTGATCTTCGTCCTTTTGAACCTCATCGAAAAGGATGGCGCTAGAAGACGATGACGCTAGAAGGCCGAACACACTATATCCTCACCTCCGAAAAGGATGGCGCTAGAAGGCCGAACACACTAGATCCTCACCTCCACGATTCCACCAGCAACTCTATCATATGATCTTCCACTGTCCTCTCGAACTTCAGCCGGATGGCTGTAGAAGTTCGAGATCTTCCACTGTCCTCTTGAACCTCAGCCGGATGGCGCTAGAAGGCCGAACACATTAGATCCTCACTCACCTCCACGATTCCACCAGCAACTCAGCTAGGATCTTCACCTGTCCTTTCGCACCTCGTCGAAACGGATGGCGCTAGAAGGCCGAACACACTAGATCCTCACCTCCACGATTCGACCAGCAACTCCAAAGGATCTTCACCTGTCCCTTCGAACCTCGTCGAAACGGATGACGCTAGAAGGCCGAACACACTAGATCCTCACCTCCACGATTCCACCAGCAACTCCACCGAAACAAAGAGCAATCAATAATCGACAGAGATTTTGCACCATTCACATCAAGGTCAAAGACCCAACTACGGTAGTCCGCCAGTCATCCCACGACTTCTACATGTAACCTCTCATTCACACCGGACTTCCACACGTACCCTCTCATACACACCGGGGAAACTTTCCAACATGGAACAGAACGTACCGTAGCAGAATTACACGCTTGACCACGAAGACGCTGACGTGCAGAAACTTCCAGAACACAATAGAGTATTCATGAACTCCCTGATCTCTCAACAACTGGGGAAAAAGGAGAGAAACCACACGAGTGCACTCCAACGTAGACACCCTGGATCTGCGAGACAGGACATAGCCGTAAGACCTATAGCCAGAAGAAACCGAAGCACGATGCTGGTCAAAATCAGGCACCATAGCATGCCCCTGCTGGAGGTAGCGACTTCTACTAGAATGGAAGTTGCACTAGCACTTCTCGAATGGAAGCTACACTAGCACCCTCCTTAACAACACCAGGGACGAACATCCACGACATCGCGCCGGCCTCAGCCTGACCTACCACACTCCCAACGGCCCCAGTACGGGATGGTTCATGATCCGACAACGACGTCCGAATAGCGATAAAACTTTGCCAAAAACGTCAGTTACTAACAACCCCTCTCCAATCACTATGCTCCTGCCTATCCACAGATACCATTCTCCCCGATATGCGAAAAAGATATTGACCGCAGCGATATCCTTGAGCTCAGAGAAGACAAAGGATGATGTAGATAATGTAGCCTCCTCCTCCGCACTACTTCAATCGCTTCCAATTCCATCAACACGACCACCTCGCTAGCTGAGGCACTCGTCAACATTTATACAACCGCGCAAGCACAACGACCCTCGACTAGCACTTTCGTTCACATACCACACGCTCCCCGGCGTCAAAGATGCCAACCGCTTCAGCAGCACATGCCCTTCGGCTTCACAGCATATGCTCCCCCCACCTTTACAGGTTCCGCACCCGTTTAACCCCCCCCCTCGTTCTGTCACCACCACANGCTTCACAGCATATGCTCCCCCCACCTTTACAGGTTCCGCACCCGTTTAACCCCCCCCCTCGTTCTGTCACCACCACATGTACTGGCTATAGCTGACGCCCTCGTAATAGTATCTATACAACAACCCCGCCGGCGCACCAATGCTTGATTCGCACTCTCATTCACATAACAGACGCCTCAAAATTCCCACCACTTTAGCACCACATGCCCTCCGGCTTAACACAGCAGTTACTCGCCCATCACAGGTTCCGTCTCTGCTTGACGTACGACCCCATCCACAGCTCACCACGCTCCATCCGCTCAAGTTGCTACTGACGAAACACAACACGCCGTTAGTAGATGAATATAGACGACGCGTACGGACGGGAGTACGAAAGCTATTATGCACATCAGCCATCAACAAACATTTTCCCATCGAAGACGTACAGATAACAGCACGCACGTCGCCATCCCCACCATGAACAAACGTCATTTGGTCAAGAACCAATGACGATACCAGAATCTACACCAACAACAACGAGTATCCAATCAAGAGGAACAGACAGATGGCACGCACATCACCATCAATAAACGAACCTCTAGAAAGGATCCACATCGCCATCTATTCCTTGTCAAGCACATCGCCGTCAATATTATATCACGCACATCACCCACAAAATCTTGTCATCATGCACATCACCAAAACCCATATTGTCATGCATGCACATAACCAAAGCCCATATTGTCATGCATGCACATCGACATCAATAAAGATAGCATCCACATCGCCAGCTGCTCTTGTCATTCACAGCAGCATCAACAATATTAACATTATCGATCGACATTAAAATCGACAACATTAACATGTCGGCACTTCTACCTGCATTCACCTTTTATTTAGGACCTTTCCAACGAACTGAACTGCACACGATTTCGAGGCATGTACCGCAGACCGCCATCGACAATAGTATCCTCACCGCTGCCGACATTAAGAATCATCAATCATCAATCACCATGGCCAGCACAAACCATTACCGGGTCATCTTGATTGTCTAATAATTGAGTCCGTCGTCACATCATCTACTGCTAAATTAGATCGATCGAGTTAAACTACCGGAAGTCATAGAGAAGCAGTTATGCGCCCAACAAACCAAAACCGGGTAACACGCCGAGTTTCGACAAATTGATAATCGCAAAGAAATTAGGAACATCATCCAACTTGTTCAATCGGACTAAATTTAATCAATATACCTAACACGGCCACGACTGCACAGATATCCTACGAACGACTACAGTGCAGAAGTGTATCTATCCTATGACCTTCCCGACAAACAGACAATGCACGAAATAACACCACCACCCCGACGAAACGCGAAACCGCGTCCCGTCACAAGGTGACGCGCCCACCGACGCCAATATCCAAAATAAAAACAGACCGGAAACTCTCTCTCTCTCTCTCTCTCTCTCTCTCTCTCTCTCTGTCTCTCTTTCTCTTCCCTTGTCGAGAGCGCACTCCTAAAGTTAACACAGTTGATACACCCTCGGTCTCTTCACAGGAAGGTGATCTCTCTCTCTCTCTCTCTCTCTCTCTCTCTCTCTTCCATTGTCGAGATCGCACTCCTAGAGTTGAGACACCCTCGGTCTCTTCACAGAAAGCTGATCTCTCTCTCTCTCTCTCTCTCTCTCTCTCTCTCTCTCTCTCGCTCTTCCCTAGTCGAGAGCGCACTCGTAGAGTTGACACACCCTCGGTCTCTTCACAGGAAGGTATTCATCGATCCGCGACGAAACGTCAATTTTCCTCTTCAAAGAACTATCTGCACTTGCAGTTGGTAAAGCCCCCGCAGAAACGCCGTTCGAAGACACGTAACCGGTTTGCTCGCCACCGCGATTACTGTCACTGCCAGACTTCGTGGTCGAAATTCTCCAGGCACTCAGGCGGGGTGGCGGGCACCGACCAAGCACAACCACTTTTTCCTTGGCATTCTGTTCATAATGGACCAACAACGTCGGCGCCGCTTCCGCGGACCCGACTCCTACCGGTAGTACTGCAGTCGCCCCTTCTGTCGTAACAGCAGCAGATCCGTTGACGTCAACCGCCGTACGCGGTACGGTTCCCTCGCTGGATCCTTTCGATGACGATTCATTCCCACCTTTCTGGCGCGCTGGGCTAGCGAAGCACCGATCAGATCCATTCAAAGCAGATCCGCAGGTATCCATCCCCTCAACGCCGTCCATATCAGACACAGGAGAATTACTATTGACAACAACACCATTACCATTCTCGAGAGGGCCCCGATCTCCAGTCATATGCGAAAGCGTGACAGCCTCAGAGGTGGCGGAGAGCGATCTGTCCTCAACACCACTATTCTTGGAAGGATCACCGATGCGAGTCGGCGTGGCGATTCGCGGAAGCTGGCACGGCAAGTTGCCAAAGAGAGATGGAGTCCTGCTCCTATCCTGCACCGGCGATCCAATCCCGCCCATGTGGATGGACACCGCTGGCGCATTCAGCGAAGCTTGAGCAGGAGAGGGAGGACAGCACATATCGGCCGCCGACTGAAGGAGAGATTTGTCTTCAACTACCATACTGATAGGAACATCTCCGAGTCCATCAGCGATAGCCAGCAAGATTTCCCGCTCGCTTGCAAGAAACTCCTCTTTGTCCACCACCCCATTGTGATCCTGATCAAACCTTTCGAACAATCGATCGTAGAACTTGTCTCGCTCCTCATCCCTGGAAGCCATCGTCCGTCGAGAAGGGGAAGCCAGTGCGAGCATCTGCTGCTGCAGATCGGGCTCACTGACGTTCTCCAACGCTGGCCTCATTTCAGACTTCGAAAGAACGTCATCACCGTCGACATCCAGGCCATGGAAAATCTCGTCCACACATCGCGCGAACGCCTCCTTCTTATTCACGAACGCACGTATAGTCGAACCATCTAAGAAAACAACTCCCATGGCTGCTGCTGCTGCTCTCTCTCTCTCTCTCTCTCTCTCTCTCTCTCTCTCTCTCTCTCTCTCTCTGAGTGTGTGTTTGTGATAAACACGATCACTCTCGCTTCTGGAGATCAGAAAGGCCTGTTCGCTGTTTAGAGTCTTAGCCTCTTGCTAATCAAACACCAAACCAAATGGGTACAACTACGACGAAGATAACGAGTGAATGCGAAGATCTACCCTGACTGCAGCAGTGGCCTCCACACCAGTCCCCTGCCCATATCCAGAAAGGGCATATGATGACTCCCGACCAGGTCGACACACGCGTTGTTGGAGGCCAATCTCTTCGTTCCAGAACCGCATTGGGCGATGAACAGACTTCAACACGTAGATCTCAGCAGCATGTGAATGGAGGCACGCGACAGGACACTTCTCAATATCCAGCCTCGACCACTCTTAGACACCATTCGCTACTGGCATCACATAACACAATCAATCAAATGATTAAATCAATCAAATGATTAAAAACTCAATGAAGCAAGGGATAAATACAACAACTCCAACCCGCGCCGAAGATGAAGTCGGACTGCAGCAAGGATTAGAGTTCCAACCCAGACCAGCCACATTCCAGTCTGAAGCGTCTTGTATTACTTCCCTCTATCCCTTGCTCAAATACGCAATGCTCCCGCTTCACGAGAGCTGTCCACTTGATTTTTGTCATATCCTTCGTTTGCCCGTTACTCCATTCCGGGAAGCCCCTCTCTGCACAGTTCATTAGACTGCCTTTCCACCCCCGCCTTCTCTCTGATCTGCGATCCAGTACGGCTGAAGGCGGTACAAGCTGTATGTAGGCCGAGAGCGTCTCTGAAACGATACTACCGTAGAGCTCAGTAGGTCCGTTCACTTATTCGCTTGTGCTCATCCCCGCCTCCACGCCTCTCCTCGGGGGGTTAGGTCCCACTTACACGAATTAAGCGATATTGACCGTATATCGCAAAGATCAACGGCCAGAATCTCGTAATCCGTGCAAGTGAGTTGACGAAAAGTTTTCCTCTTCAGTCAAACAACTTCCATTCACACTGCGCGGAAGATGTCAATCAGGCGATCGCACAACTTGTCACACACCTCACGATCCGCCCGCATCTATTTCCCTTCCTCACACTGCCCGCAAGATATCAGGGTCGATCGCACAACCTGTCACACACACACCCCTCAGGATCCGCCCGCTTCTATATTTCCCTTCCCCCCTTCAGTCAAACGACTTCCATTCACACTGCGCGCAAGATGTCAATCAGGCGATCGCACAAGTTGTCACACTCTACACACACCTCAGGATCCGCCTGCTTCTCTATTTCCTTTCCTCTTCAGCCAAACAACTTCCATTCACACTGCGCGCAAGATATCTAAGGCGATCGCACAACCTGTCACACACCACACACACCTCAGGATCCGCCCGCTTGTCTATTTCCCTTCCTCTTCAGTCAAACAACTTCCCTTCACACTATCAATCAGGCGATCGCACAACTTGTCACACACCACACACACCTCAGGATCCGCCCGCTTCTCTGTTTCCCTTCTGAAGCTCCGACCCTTCCTCCCCCCTTCCCCCGTCACACGCACTGCGTAGAAACACCTCCTCGAGAGTGCGCTGAGAGACGCGCATCACGAACGCGGCAAACTTCGCGCAACAACCAACCCCGCCGGTGGGTTGCGTACGTGGGAAGAAGAGACTGGTAACCGCGCATCCACCTTACGCCTACCACTCACTCACTAGGGCACACAGACCACCAGTAGCTGCATTGCTATTATAAATATTGTGGTTACGACTACTGGGGCCAATCCCCTAGTGGGACTTGGCCCCTGGCGTGTGTTGGGTCGATTTTTTTTTTCTTCTTCTTTTTTTCCTCAAATGTTGGGGTGTGTTGGGTTGAGTTTTCTTTTTCTTTTTCTTTTTTTCTTTTCAAATGTTGGGTTGAGTTTTCTCCAGCGAGGACCGACTCCGCAAACGCACGCGAGGCTCAACTGCAGCGCAGGTGGCCCGAAAGTCCTTGCGGCGTTGGTCGAAAATTCTCTCGAAATAACGATTTCGGAAACTCGGTGGACTTTCTCTGGAGCGTTCTGCGCAACCCATAACCGAAATCAACTAGGGACATTTCTGAGTGGGTGCTACAAATTCTCGGTGATCGTTGCACTGACCATCTTTGCGCTTGGGGCAATGACGCAGTCCGTGAGGGTTAACCGAGACGCGTCTATTGCTGGTTGAAAACTACATTCCAAACCCCCTCAGTGGCCGAAAGGCCGCTGAGAATTTCTGGAAGGCCCTGGCAACGCAAGGGTCACATTAAATGAAATTAAAAGAGGATAGTGAGTGGACGTGAGTCCGAGTGCTCAGGATACGGAAGGCCTCCTTCCCCAGCTCACCTGACGTACAGGAGTGATGCAGTTACGAAACATCGGGGGCCGGAGGCCACTTAATCGGACGGATTCCTCATTTTTGGCTGTTGATTTTCGTGATCTAAGGTCGGTAATGGAGGATCCTGTTTAATGGGACTTGGCCTCGGGGCTAGGTCCCACTTGCACGAATTAAGAAATACTGCCCGTAGATTGCAAAGATCAACGGCCCAAATCTCCTGCTTTGCGCAAGTGGGACCTTGCCCCCGGTCGTTCATTGTCCTTCCTTCTGTCGCAACATGACAGAAACTCGTTCTCATTTGGCGCGCTTGGTGAGTCGAGCGAGGCCACAAGGCCCACGGGCCACAGGCTCACAGCTGTTGCGGCCTTTGATGGGGGACCGACCACGAGCATACAACAATACGATACGAAAAGCGTCCTAAACGGTTACGGTTGGGGGATCCGGTTCCCAGACGTGAGGAGAGACGCCATTGGGGGGTAATACCAACTGGCCTAGCTCTAGCTCCGTCGGTAGACCGCCGAGCTGTTGAAACAAGGACCAGAGTTCGAACTCCACTGGAAACAGATGAGTAAAATACTGCCATTGTGGGACCTGGGTCTAATGGCTGCTTCGAGCGCGCTGGTTATTCGGGGATACCAACTGGCCTAGCTCTAGCTCAGTTGGTACACCACCGAGGTGTTGAAACAGGTATCCCAACTGGCCTAGCTCTAGCTCAGTTGGTACACCACCGAGGTGTTGAAACAGAGACCAGAGTTCGAACTCCGCTGGGAACAGATGAGTACAATACTGCCATTGTGGGACCTGCGTCTAATGGCCGCTTCGAGCGCGCCGGTTATCATGGGTATGGGTTCCATTGTACCGGTATCGACGGTTTTCCATTATTGCCAACAACATTTCCTCAGGATGCAGAGACGTGCAGCCGCAGGAAGATGAAAAAAACAGTCGAAAGGCAGGCGGATGAAGTCTCCGCGCCGAGCAGAAACAGCCGCTACTGCAGCAAATTTCCCGATCTACCAGCGTGTATCGTACGTCGGCGGGAAACCGGTCACAAATGCCACCAGTCTGCCGGCGCTCGTGATGTGAGTCAGCGGGAAACCGGTTACGACATAAAACAGCACTACCGCCGGTAGCTGACGGTTTTCCTTGGAGCGCCATAGCTCCTGAAATTGGCCGTCGATCGACTACACATCACTCTACATGCATTTGGATGCTTTCCCCCACACGTGCATTCGGTCGAGTCCAGCATTTTTGAATGAAATGAATGTGGTCCAAAACGAATCCAAATGCATGTAGAGTGTTGTGGAGTGGAGTGGAGCGAGGCCCATTATTACACCGTAGAGGATTCGAGCCCGTAGGCTGCTCGCTGGGCCTTGCTGCACTACTCTCCGAATGTGCAAAATGAGAACGAATTTTCCGCTAGGACATGGAAAGATACACACCGCCATATTTTATTTTATTTTTTATCCTCTTCTTTTTTCTTTTTTTTTAACTGATACACACCGCCATATATTTTTGTCGTTTCTGCATGTGGAGAGTAGTGCAGCCAGGCCCACTACCATTCACATATGTTTCCGGAAGAAAGGGCGCATAAATCGAAAAAAGGGGTTTAGGGGGAGGTGCAGTGACTGGCCATTGCTCGGCGCTACCGGTAGCACCGCCGATTTCCCCCATCGGCAATCCCTGCCCACCCCTCATCACCGTGATGAGGGACTGGTAAAGCCTTGCTCTGTTTTTTTCCCTTTTTGTTTTTCAGAAATAGCTGGTTTTACTCGTCAATGCGAACACGGCTCTGTATTTCAACAGTTCATGGGTGAGCCTTGCTCTTTTTTTTTTCTTCTTTTTTTTTTGAGCCTTGCTCTTACACCACTGCTGTGGTGCCAACCTACCCCGTAGACTACCGTGCTCACCCGAATAGAACGCCCGGTCATTATCACATTCTGTATTTGGCCCAACTTTCAGCCCAGATACGACGATAGTTACCGGGCGCTCTATTCGGATGAAGATGGTAGCGAGAGGATGAGATAGACGAGTACAGGCAAGAAGATGAGATATGCAATCCAGAAGACCACCCCTTTCCAGGAGGCGGGGCGGGGAACAGTCGAGTAACAGCTAAATTAACTCACTCACACTGACCCCTCACCTTTGTCAGAGCTGCCCTCATATCCTTACCATCCAAAAATACTGTGAAAAGCCTGAGCTGCCAAGACGGGTTTCCCACCACGCACCCTTGGATCTTCGTTGTATAGCGATCACAATGGTTTGTGGTTTAGGGTTCAGTCTCGCTTTCTATGGTTGGAGTCTTGATAACGGTTTGCCAACGCTTCAGTCTCGCTTTCTATGGTTTGTGGTTTAGGGTTCAAGTTGTAGCATTCTTGTCAAGTTGTCAGTGTTAATTTTTTTGGAAGATGTTTGTAGAACGAGTTAGGGAAAGGGACGCTGGGCCCGGTTTCCAGCACAAGCCGAAGCTGAGTAATGGCCTCTGTTCTTCCGGGTTGTTTGTGGGGTATTCCCGGCCTCCTCTTCGTTTGCAATGAAATGATCCAATTCTTCCAAAAAAAAAAAAAAAAAAAAAAAAAAAAAAAGAAGAAGAAGAAGAAGAAGAAGAAGAAGAAGAAGATGAGATAGATGAGAGAGAGAAAAAAAAAAAGAAAAACTAAACAGCGTCTCGCCGCACCACTCACCAAATGCACAAAAGACAATTTATGACGATGCATCTCTCCTTGTTCTAGCCGCAGGTTCACGCTCATTTTGCGCATCTGGTGAGTGGTGCCTATTCCATAGGCATCGACGGAAAGGGGCGCCTGACAAGAGGAAAACGGTCCTTCTAACAGAGGCCGTTATAACCGTTGACACCCCGGCTATAAAACCGGCAACCACCCCGTAGGATGCGCTTCACTCGGGCGGAGTATGCTGCCTTGTACCATTTTTTTATTTTTTATTTTTTTCGAGAGCCTTGTACCATTTGGTGTGCCGAGGTCGGCGTCACTGGAGGGCAGCCCCCCATTACACACACACTACCACTCTGGGGGAATGTGCTGCTTTCACTTTCATTGCCAGTGCACGGAAACCCCTTCCTGCCCACACCCCAGCACCATAGCGATGTGCAGACACATTGACTTTCCGTGAGGTCACTCGTACGCAGCCCCTAGTTTGTATGCTGATGTGGTTGTCACTGTTATGCGCAGGACGCAGCCATCCGGGTGGCAAAAGTCTTGTTGGACTTTTTTTTTTTTTTTTTTTTTGAGAAGTTGTGGCTTTATATATTCAAAGAATGGTCGAGGCTGGGGACCTCACAATTCTACCCGCCGGAAGTATCAGAACCTTGCTGGAAACAGGGTCCAGCGTCCCACTGCCCCGTTACCCTCTCTCAGGGAGTGAACTCCTCAAAAAAGTAAACCTTGAAGCTCAGAAAATTGTAGCTAGGACTAAACAATGACAATTCTCACCCTCCTACCACCAACTTTGATCTGGTATCCATTCACCAATAGCCTGCCTGCTTACAGCTTTCTCTGGCAGGTCTCAGACTACCACACCTGTACTATCTGTGT